TCATCAGAGCTACCAAAATTTTCACAGATCTGATCTGAACTAGCACCGCAATGGATACTGTCCGGTCATTCGCTGATGTTTTTCGATCATCCGTATCATTTTCCTCGCTAGCATTACTATATCATCGCTGTTTTCACAATAATTCTTATCAAAATTGATATTAAAAGCAACCTAGCTTCTTACAAGTGTGGCAGTTCCAACCATAGCAATGGTAATGTTAGGTAGCAATAAGACAGATCAAACTCGCTAGATCACATTCAATAATTTAAAAAATACTAATCATTAATTAACAATAAGACAGATCAAACTCGCTAGATCACATTCACAAATTTTGATAAAATTAGCTCTGATCAACAAACCTGATCATATGAAACGATCACAAATATCACAAATTAATTTATTAAAAGCAAATTAAACATCCAAAGCAGAAAAAACAAAACTTACGATGCATCCAAATGTGTCAGGCAACAAGTACTCAAATGTCTTGTGGTGAACGTCAGCGGAGTGAAGTTTTTCGATGGCGCAAATGCCGTTGGCAGTTGAAGGGCGTTAACATGCGCTGATATTGGACCACCGTCAGACGGACGAACGAAATCACAGATCAGTTCACATGCTATTTTGGTATCACTGTAAGAAATGGATCATTACGGATCAACATTATCCCTTAATTGATGTAAACTATCGAACAGACTATCGAAGATAAGCGCAAGCTGATCACAATACTAGAAGAGATAACTGAAAGGCGAATGATCATAGCAGAATGATCAGTATTAATCAATAATGATCAGATAAACCACAAGGTGTTTTCCGGATTCCAACCGGATTAAGGCTCAACTTCCAATGATTCATTACTCTTTCATTATAGATATAATTGCTGTTGCTTATTATACTGCTTGCTAGTGGATAGATCACGTTGCCGATATTGCTATCAGCATATTCATTGATATTGTTATTGTTTCTTCTCGTAATCATAATTTGAACACAATTTGATATTTACAAATCATTGCCCCGTCCAGATTCGATAGCATCAACGACACAGCTATATCACTTGATTTCGAGCAAAAGTTGCCTTTAACGGGACTTGAACCCACTCATCACCAATTTCCAGTCAGATGCTTTACCAACTGAGCTATCGTTAGGACCGTGAAATATTCACTGAGCAATTGTGGCGAGTATGCAGCAATTGCTGTAGTACAAAAATTTACGAATCATCAAGCTGACGGTGAGAGGGCTACAGTATCTGCTCATCGGATGGCATTAGCTCTACAGCTACAGTATACCAAAAAACACGCCGCCCGCCGACCAATCGCTTTTCTA